AGGCTATAGATAATAAATAGAGAAATTGACGTAAATGCTCCCAAAGTTCTGCTTGTTTTCGTTTTTAGTCCAAACTTTTAAATCTTGGTGTAAATGATTCCAAACTTTTGAATTCTTGGCAAAATAGATCCTTTTGATAATTTTCGTCCAAAATAGCAATAGTTTGGCACTGCGCAACTAGGGTTGTCCGTGGGTCGGTTCGATTCTGTTATAAAGAGAATCGAACCGACCCAAAACTTTCAGGTATTTAATAAATGGAACCGTTGGGTCCAAATATAATTATGGAACAATTCTGGTTCGGTTCGGTTCGGTTCCGTATTATAATTAAATTTTTTAATATTTTGGCTCCATTTCGAGGCCAATCAGTATTTATTGTGATAATAGAGCAACAAAGTTCTTTTCAAGAAATAATAAAAGTTCCAGTAGATCGAAATACATTGGCATCAAAATTTGGTGGTCAGAGACAGAGTCAAGGAATGGTAAATAGAGCATATCAATGCAGAGACGATGATTGCAGATCTTTTGACTAAGGGATTCACTTCCAAAGTTTTTACGACACATGTTGCTAATATGGGTATTGTGAAATTTTTTAATATTTTTGGTTAGTAGAAGTTATTNCGACCCAAACCCATCGGTTCTCGATTCGGGTACCCATTCAGGTATTTAATTTATGAAGAACCGCTCGATTCGATTCGGGTTCGGTTCGGTTCGGTTCGGGACTTTTGGACACCCCTAATTGCAACTTTCTTTTAAAGAGTAAATTGCAAATTTAGGCCAATCTTTGACGAAAGTAGTGATCATGTCCCTGATCATTTTTTTTTGTCTTATGAATATATTTTTAAAAAGAGAAATTTATCTTTATTTTTAAATTAAAAAAGAAAACAAAATGAAAATTCATCTTAAAAAGACTAAAATGTCCTCATCTTCTCCATCTGAAAAAGATAGGGCTTGAAAAATAAAATCTGTTCAATCCTCCCTCTTACCCCCAATCCCCACTCTCTTCCCTTTTCATCTTTGACAATTATTTTTACGAACATAGTATGATACTTGAATTACATATAGGCTTGAACATGATTCGATTCGGTTCGATTCTAAAAATGATCGAATGAAATCAAAATTTTTGAGTATTTAATTAGTTGAACCATTGGATCCAAATTTAATTATGAAAGCAAGTTCGGTTCGATACGATTCCGTATTATAATTAATTTTTTTAACATTTAGAACAACACTACATTCATCCAATCAATGATGTGATCAATCTTAACTCTTACAAAATAAGTCCATATTTTCTAACCTCTCATGGTTGTTTTTTGTCTCCCATTCGAGAACCTATATAATAGAGTAATTATGCTTTCTTGAATTAGCCTTTATATACCCACGAACTGGGTTTAAAAATGAAGAAGGGTATAGGATTTGATGGTGTGGTCCACATGGAACTTGAGGAGCAAAGATAAAGTCGAGACTTGATAGAGGGGAACATCTAAAAATGAGGAAAATCGTTCATAGAATGAGGAGTGTTAGGTGAATTGTGATGTGAAGTTGTGTTTGGATTGAAATTTGTAGGAATAAAATATTTTGGACTCAAGTTGGACTTGGCTCTTCGGAGTTAGAGCCTTGAGCATTTACAGTTAGTTTTTTTATTAGTTAATTGACAAATTTATTTTAAAAAATTAAAATAATTCAGTTCAATCAATATAAAAAAAATTAAAAAATTAGGAAAATTCGGTATTTATTAGGTTTTTCGATTCTTGGTCTAGAATTGAGAATCAATGTAATCATTTGATTATTAAACCTATGAACAAATCCGAACTGCTTTATTCGAGCCCAGTCCGATTCAAGATTTTGTCCAACCCTAATTGCACATGATATAGCAAAAGGTACAATCAATACAAAGTCTACAATATATTTTTCTTTAATTAAAGAAGTTAGTTTATTGGCCTCCATTTCCCTTGAGGAGGTGAAGCCACAGTGCCACAACCGACTTTCGAGAGAGATGCAATAATGCTTAAAATAATTAAAATATTTGACACCAGAATTCGTAGTGATTGAATATTTTTGCTAATGACGAATTCCAATGAAAAGAGGTCTTCTTTCTCTTTAAATATTCTGGTTGATCCATTATTTATTAGTCATTGTTCTGAAGCACATAGTGTAGAATTTTCAAAACACACGTGGGGGTGGAAGCCACATTTTTTATTTTTTTAATTCATTGGGTTAGGGCCCTGTGCTACAGTGAGGAGCCTTGTGAAATTAAGCCATGTACGCAAGGCTTAATTCCATATCACAAACACTAATGGTTCATCTACGTGATTGGATTTGATTGGATTGGATTAGGGAAGGCTTTCAAATACTTCAACACTGTTAGACCATTATAATAAATTATAATGTTAGATACAATTTAAAGAATAAATTTCACCCGAGGTCTCAAATGTATCAAAAAACTGTCGAATGTTCCAAACCTTTCATTTCTCGTGAGCCGAGTCCAAAGCCTTAACATATAATAGGCAGTGGACCAAAAGTAAAAGGATTATCAAAATCAATGAAGCAACCAAGCTGGGATTAATTGTCAAAGGGCCATGTGGCTAAAGATATTTTGATTTTAGATATTTTAGTTTGTTAGGTTTTAACTAACTTTCCCGCCCTTTTCTTACCTTCCCGCCTTTTCCATTTTCAGCTGCTATTTATACTGGTTGTATCACCATTTATTGATTGAATTGAATAACATTTTCTCTCTCAATCTTCTCCTTTTCCGCAATATGGTATCATAGAAGTAGCTTCTCAGCTTCGCATTTTTTTTACTGATTGATCATGGCAACTGATTCAATTGATCCTATTCAGATTTCCACATCTTCGATGAGCCATTCCGCCACTGAAGATGGTTCCAATCCATATTTTCTTCATCATTCTGATAATCATGATCTCATACTTGTTTCGCAGCAGTTGACTAGTGAGAATTACATTTCCTGGAGCCGTGATATGTTCATAGCTTTGTCTGTGAAGAACAAGGTCGGATTCATAGATGGTTCCATCACTCGACCTGAAATTAATTCTGAATTTCTCAATCCTGGATCCGTAATAACAATATGGTTATCTCTTGGATCCTCAATTCAGTCTCAAAAGATATTTCTACAAGCATAATCTACTCTGAGTCTGCATATGAAATCTGGATTGATCTGAAGGAGCGATTTCAGTAGAAGAATGGACCTCGGATCTTTCAGCTACGGCGAGATCTCATGTGGAAAGTGTATCTGTGAGGGAAGCAAGAAATTAATGGAGCATTACCATATGGAGTATGTTATGTCTTTTCTAATGGGTCTAAATGAATCTTATTCTCAAGTAAGAGGGCAAATATTGCTTATGGATCCAATTCCCCCAATCAATAAAGTGTTCTCTCTAATCTCTCAAGAGGAACAACAACGAGGAGTGAATCTAACTGCTGGAACGACTGATTCATTGGCCTTTTATGCCAAAAATGACAATAGAAAGCCAATAGTGGGGCAGTCCTATAACAAAAATCAGAAGAGGGATAGACCTATTTGCACTTATTGTGGATATAGGGGTCATGTAGTTGATAAGTGCTATAAGCTTCATGGTTATCCACCTGGATACAAAGCTAATCAAAGGAATAATCAATCTGGTTATAAGTCAAATGCTGTGACTAACCAAATTTCTGATTCATTTACAGGCAAATCTACGGATACTGTTGATGATTTTGTGCAAACTCTGAATCCTGGACAGTACAAAAACCTGATGAGTATGTTGAGCACTCATCTTGCTGCTGCAAAATTAGGAGATGATCCTGTTAAATTAGACAATGCATCAGGTATCTGCTTATCTATTTCGAGTAATGAGGTGCTCAATTCTGCAAAACACTGGATTCTAGATTCAGGAACAACTAGTCATGTTTGTTTCACTCGAGAGTCTTTCAAAACATTAAAATCTGTACAAAGTGCCTATATCATGTTGCCAAATAACATCAGTATATCTGTTCATTTTATTGGTATTGTTGAGCTCAATTCAGAACTGATCCTTCACAATGTGCTGTTTGTTCTTCAGTTCAAGTTTAATCTGTTATCTATTAGCTCTTTGACCAAGGACTCAGATATAAGTGTTCGATTTTTCACTGATCATTGTGCTATTCAGGATCAGGGCAGTTGGAGGATGATTGGCAAGGTTGATATGGTTAATGGACCTTACGTTATTGAGGCTGAAACTGATGTAATGAAAGTTGATTGTAATTTCTTTAAGTCTGTTAGTCATGTTTGTTCTGTAATAAATAAGGTGACATTTGATGTTTGACACCATAGATTGGGACATTTATCTTTTAAGAGATTAGATATGTTAAAGGATCAGCTGCATTTTAAGAGTAATAGAAATGGCATTGCTCCTTGTTATATCTGCCCTTTAGCTAAACAACGATGTCTGTCTTTTGCTTCAAATAATCACTTATCAGCAGAATCCTTTGATCTCATCCATTGTGATGTATGGGGTCCTTATAGCTCTCCCACTCGTAATGGTCACAAGTATTTCCTTACAATTGTTGATGACAATACTAGATTTACTTGGGTTTATCTGATGAAGCAGAAGTCTGATGTGCTCGATCTAATTCCCAAGTTCTTTGTTCTTATTGAGACCCAATTTAACAAAACCATTAAAGCTTTCAGGTCTGATAATGCACCTGAAATGCTCTTCACATAATTTTTAAGTAAAAGGTTAATGCACCTGAATTGCGCTTCACAAAATTTTTCAGTAAAAGGGGGATACTTCATCAATTTTCTTGCCCTGAATGTCCTGAACAGAATTCAGTTGTTGAATGAAAGCATCAACATTTACTTAATGTAGCAAGAGCTCTCTTCTTTCAGTCACAAGTTCCTATCTCATTCTGGGGAGATTGTGTTCTAACCGCTACTTACCTGATAAATTGAACCCCTTCTCCTATTCTTCAAAATAAAGCTCCTTTCACCCTCCTATATCATCTGCCAGTAGATTACCATTTTCTTATGGTCTTTGGGAGTCTATGCTTTGCATCTACCATTACCTCTCATCGTTTGAAATTCCATCCTCGAGCTAAATCTTGTGTTTTTATTGGCTATCATCCTGGTATAAAAGGATATAGACTTTATGATATAATCTCCAAAACCATTTTTATATCTAGAGATGTGATTTTCCATGAACACATCTTTCCTTTTCACTCTATCTCAAAAACCCCTGAAGTTCTTAACTGCTTTCCTGATCTTGTTTTACATGTTATACCTGCTGATATACATTTCCCTGCTGATGCTTTTCCACCACATCATAGCAATGACAGATCCATTCATGATGAGGTATCCTATCCAAATATTGATCATGCTGATACTTCAAGCCATAGTCTTCATGATGTATCACACGATCCTCCTACTCATACTGTTACTTCACATCTTGATCTTAATTCTCCTGCTCCTTCTGCTCATATTCTCAGAAGGTCTCTCAGGACTAGCAAAACTCCTTCTTATTTGCAGGAATTTCATTGTAACCTTCTATCCAGTTCATCATCCTCTATCGTTCCATCTCCTCTTATCCTTTACAATACTATCTTTCCTATTCCAAGTTTTCTTCTTCCCATAAAAGCCTTAGTTTGAACATATCCGCACATGCTGAACCTCAATTTTACCATCAGGCAGTGCAAGAGGCTCATTGGAGGGAAGCGATGGCTGCTGAACTTAGTGCTATGGAATTAAACAGAACTTGGTCCACCATTGCACTACCTAAAGGCAAGCATACTATAGGCTGCAAATGGGTCTATAAAACGAAGTACAGATCTAATGGAAGTGTTGAACGACACAAAGCCTGTTTAGTGGTAAAAGGGTTTACTCAACAAGAAGGGTTAGACTTCTTGGAAACATTTTCTCCGGTTGCTAAGATGGTGACTGTGAAGCTCTTGTTAGCAATTGCTGCTATGAATAACTGGCACCTCATTCAATTAGACGTGAACAACGCTTTCCTTCATGGTGATCTATTTGAAGAAATCTACATGGACTTGCCTCTCGGTTATACTCCTTCAACTTCATATGGCAAACAGGGGGCGTGGTTGGTATGTAAGTTGCATAAATCCATCTATGGATTAAAGCAGGATTCACGACAGTGGTTTTCGAAGTTCTCCCATGCTCTTATACTTCATGGCTTTCATCAGTCGAAGTCCGATTATTCCCTTTTCACTAAGGGGTCTGGGAATACTTTTGTTGCTTTATTGGTGTATGTTGATGACATAGTCATCACTGGTTCAGATTCTAGAATCATTAATGATTTAAAGGTTTTCCTTCACAATCAATTTAAGCCCAAAGATCTTGGTAACCTCAAATTTTTCCTTGGGTTGGAAATTGCGAGATCTCAGAGTGGAATTGCCCTGTCCCAGAGGCACTATGCTCTTCAGGTCTTACAAGACACAGGATTCTT